CCCCAAAACCCCAAAACCCCAAAACCCCAAAACCCCAATATTCTATTTATAAATTGGTAATTATTACAAAGACATTACAAATGGAACCGACTGGAATCATAACTAAGGCAGGCATAGCACCACTAAAAGGCCAAGTCTTGAAGCTTACAGGGCTCCCAGGAATGTCTTTCATCTGGGCTCTTGCTGCTACAAAATTTTGATCTATAGCTCTTGGAGGCCATGCCTCCAAGAGCCTCATGATGAACTTTGCGAGTCACTTTATGCCAGAGAAACCTAGCCTGGGTGAAATATTCGCTGAACTTGGACAAGTAGACCTTAATTTGTCACACAAAGAGCAGAATGCCATAGGCATTCCACACTTGGTTTCCAATTTTGAGGAAATTGCTGTTCAAGGAAAAGACAATATTTTTCCAGGTAGTAATCTCAGTGATATCAATCGTTATAAAATATTCATTAAAGGACTCAGGCTTTACTGCAGGACAAAGCAAAAGTTAATGCTAAAAAAGGTGAGGACAAAGGCCTCCACCAGAAAAACGAAAGCTATTAATGACTTTTCAGGTGGATTCATGGAAGGAGTAGAGAATGCTGGAGTAGCATACCTCAATTTGACATTCATGGATCAAGAATTACAGAATAGCTTGCTGCAATTAGTTAATGAGTCATTTACTGCAAGGACGGCTATTGACGAATCAATCTGCTTTGGTATGAGAATAATGAGCGAAGTTGTGAAGAACGAGGAGTTTATTTCCAACTCATCCCAACTATCCTCTAGAGTAATCAAGCATGAGGGAGTGAACCAAGCCAGCATCGGGTTGTTGAATGCTTGACTGAGCCATACCACTACTCAGTACTATATGACTTGATTACTGTCAGATGCAATGATGAAGACCTCCGCGAAGGATGTCATGGCATCCTCCCTCATATCTGCAGTGGTTAAAGCGATCCATAAGCCTGAAACAGGTGAGAATTTAGGAAAGATGATATCAAAAACTCTTCAGGACACCAACCTTATCAAACAAGCTAAGAAAGCTTTGATTTACTCAAATATTGCAAGGACAGGCTCCAGAGCACAGAAATCTGTCACTCAGAAACTTTCTGAAGTTCCTGAAACTCTTAAGGAAGAAATAAAGACTTTAAGCCAAGATCAGGCTGTGCCTGACCCTGTCAGGTCTTAGTCATCAGAAGCCTTCCCTTGGTTTGCGACTATTTATTATCCCGGTGAATTTTCAACGAAAATCTTTTAGAAAGGGGTTTTGGGGTTTTGGGGTTTTGGGGTTTTGGGG